GGCCGATATATTGCTGCTACTCCCCACATCATCTAGAGGTCTAGAGGTTATGGTATAGGGTGGTAGAGTACATGCTACCTCGATTCCTAACAGCGCTAACGCTACTGAACCCTAAATCAACTTCAGCCCCAGCCGGGTTCTTGTCCTTTCATTGTGCAGCCAATGATCCCCCAAAGCCTTGCTGCTAAAACCCCTTCGGAGCCTCTAAAACAACTCGGCGAAACCCTGATAATGCCTCTACAACAATTCATCACAATCGTTCATGAAGCCGTACAGAAACTTTTTGAACCCTTCGTTTTGCAGTACCCTTGCAGAACCCTTGTGAAGCCCCGTCAAGCCCTTGAGCAAGAGGCTTAGAAGGCTCTGAAGCCAAACCGTTTTAAGATAAGCTCATTTTGTGCTTGTTAGTCGGTTTGTATCGGGATGAATAAATAGAGCTTCGCAGACGAAAAAAGGCAGAAAGGGTATCCTACCGCTAATTATTCAGATGCTTCAAGGATTCAGGGGCTTAGTAAGTAGGGTTGTCAAGCAAGGGCACTTGTGTGGGTAGTTATAGCCCCAAACAGGTTATTTGTAACCATACTTAGAATTAGCCATGGACCTGCGTAAACCCTGAGCCTTACTTAGGATCATGGGACCTGGTAGGTAAGGTTATGTACCTTAATGATAAGTGTAGAGATATTTTTGTGATCTTAGTTACGTATAAATAAGGCCTTCCCCCTAGAAAGGCCTCGAGCAACATCATACCTCCAGAGCGTGAAGCCCAACCCAAGCAATTCAATCGAAAGGTGTCAAGGGTTTGGAGTAAAGGGGTTTAGGGTTTAGTGATTAAGGAATCCTGAAACACCAGACCCTAAACTCCAAACCTCGGACCTAAACCGCTAGAGCTCCTTAACCCCAAACCCACCCCAAACCCATCGGATAAAGCCTAAACCTTTGCTTATGATTGAAAAGCTGGAAACCGCGAACTTGGAGCACGTCCACCCCTCCGAAAATCTAAACCCTAAAGCCTCAAGCCCTAAACTCCTAAGCCCTGAACAGGGCTTCGTTTTCCAAAGCCTCCTTGGCCAGTGCTTGTATAATTGCCTGTCACTCCTTTGGGCTCCGATTAGCGAGACTATGTGGAGTACCGGGTTGCTGTTGGTTTTAGGGTTAACTCAAAGGCTTTAACGAGCTTAGTAATTTCAACAAGCATAGTATCCTACAAAAAGCATGGTAACCATTCTTCATAGTTGGAGTCCGCGGATCTTGCACCATTGAAGCCGAATGCAGCGCAGCAGAGTGTTTCACCCCTCTATAACCCGAAACCGCTCACCACTGCGAAGAGGTTGACTATCTGACTAGAAGCTTGATTACTTCGCTAGTGTAAAGCTAGGGTTTGGGAGGTTTCAGGTTAAATTCTTGGATCCGAAAAGTCAAGGGTTTTGAGGTATTGAATTTCTGTAGTGCTTAAGGCTTAAGGGTTCAAGGTTCAAGGCCGGATTGTGGTACTTCTTCTTCAGTGCCATATTATACGGTTGGCGTCTTAACTTATGCAAGTGGGCCTCTGAGCAGCCACGGCTTGGACCATGATGACCGTGGTCCTTTCCCACACCTACAACCCTGGGACTTCGGGGCATTCGCAGGCACTCCCTGTTTAATTTCGCTTTCCCCATCCGCAATTTAAATGCTTCAGTACTTGGTTCGGGCCAAGCAATCCTTAAGAAAGATAGATGTCAGTGCTCGAGTGAAGTGGAATCAACCTTTTTGCGACAACGCAACCAACAGACACACACACACACATATCGTGACAATCTGATATCCATGGGGTCGGTTGGGCCGTCGCATGTTTCAATATTTGAAGGTACTATAGGTCTTGTTTCGGTGATACGATCCCTTCGATCCAAAAGCAGTGGAGCTTCTTAGAGCATGTCTTGAGCCTTCTTTTCCGATCCTAGACAGCAATGCCTTGAGCCAGCACCCAACCCGGGAGAGAAAAGAAAGCCAAGGTGGAGAGAAAAAGTAGCCAGGCAAACCCTTCTAGGCGTTCCTTTTTCAGTCCTGTCAACTGGAACACCTATCAACTCGAACACAAGAATCTGCTTCTGAACTCTCTGGGTGAAGTGAGAACGGTTCATGCAGTCTCATGCAAGACCCACCGTACGTACCCAGAAGTTCATTGAACTTGGCGCGATGACCGAGATCATTCGACTTTTCCGATGCTTTGGATCGGAAGAACGATCTTCCGTAGACGGAAGCCCATGCCCGCACTTCCCTCTGCACCCGTTGAGCGTGATCATGGCAGCCAACTCCCCGCTCCTCACAGCCCCGACGATAACGAGACCCAAGACTTTGTGGGAGTTCAGCAAGCCGGAATTGATCGCCGAGGCTCAAGCCAGGAACCTTTGGTTCTCGGAGTCGTGGACGACCTCAGAGATCAGGTCCTTGATTCAAGAGGATCAAGGGAAGCATCGCCGGCTTGAGCAAGCTCAAGGTAGAAGAAGGCCGCCAAAAAGGGGTACAGTGTGCCGCCATGTGCTACCAAGGGGACCATCCTACGAATTCTTCGAGATCAAGGAGGGATGGGACCGGAGTCGATCCTGACCTTTGGGCGGTACCAAGGGAAGAAGTTCGGCGAAACCCCAGTCGGGTATCGCCAGTGGGCAATCAAGGAGACGGAGAACAACGACAACCCCTTCGGAGGAGCTGGTGATGTTTGCCAACTGGTGGCAAGGGGAGTTGCACAAGAGAGCCGAGGAGGGCAGTCGAAAGAGTTCGTCGGTGAGACCCATGCGACGATTCCCTATGTCGAGGAGACCACCTCGATGGCCTCGTGGGAGGAGTTATCGAACCTCAGCTCGCCCAATGTCCAAAGGCCAAAGCCCCAGCAACTACAAGATCGACCCCGACGAGGCGCACCGCGACGTCGGCTATGGGACCCGAGAAGGTGCAGATGGACCAGGATGTACCCGAGGAGGTGGTGGACGAGGTGTTGGAGCTCGAGGCAAGGCTGGCAGCTCTCCGCGACCAGCACGGCATTGCCCCGAGGACATGGGATTGAAGACAGACCCCGGGCACCTACCAGAAGATCAGCTCCGCGACTCCGAGGTGTTCTACGAATGTGAGGATCCCAAAGCCTATGAGGATGAGCCCTACAACAGCGACGACCTCGAGGAGGACAACGAGCAGGACATCGACGACTTCTTCCTCTACCAAGACGAGAACAGCTGTCCGGGTGACCGAGGCCCAAGGTCACCAAGTATAAACCCGGAGGCAGTGGGGATGTATTCCAACGTGAGCTCACCAGAGTCAATCCCGTTTTGGCGGCCGCTGACATGATCTACGACTGCGAAAAGATGGCCAAGGACAAGCTCAACTTCAAGAAGTTTTCCTACGACGACTTCATCGAAGTCAGCAGGCTCATTCCTCTGCGGAAGGCAAAAGGGAAGAAAGGATCCAACCGAGGAGGCGGTGAACTCTTCGAGTACTTTCTCGGCGGCATGTACACCTACGGTAAGTTCTTCGGAATGGCGCGCGCGGCCAGGCTCCTCCCTTGGACGACAAAGTATATCAACGCGTTCGCCAGGAGCAAGTTCAAGGGACCATGGTCTTCCTTTGTCCTCTTCCGGAACACAGCTACTCAGGTGCACGCCGATGTGCGCAATCTGGCCGGATCCAAAGTTACCTCGGTGACGTTCGGAGACTTCTCTGGAGGCGAACTCTGGCTGCACGATGAAGGAGCGACCGAGGGCGTCAGCCGCGAAGCTCCCGATGGAACTTTGTTGTATGGCAAGATCGTCTCCACGAGGGAGGAACCTTCGATGGAAAACTTCGCCATGCGACGCAGCCTTGACCGGAGAGCGGTGGACGCTTTCCTGTTTTACCACGAGGGGCTTTATTCATGCAGACGGTCCTCCACGAGATGAACTTCGAGAACTCCGTTTTCCCCTACGTGGCCTCCCGCCCCGTGGGAAAGATTTGTGCGAAGGAGAAGGTGGCGCTACATGTGCTGTTGTCAGGCCCAGGAAGAGTATGAGGGAGAAGTTTGTGGAAGTCCGCCAAACGCTTGGCTACCCTTACCTCTTGGTGTACCTCCGCGGCTTCGATGTACCTCACCAACCACTTCCCGCTCTCCCGTGGCCCAGAGGCAGCTGTCCTTTTTGAGATCGGAGGAGTCTCTAAGACTCTGGAGGTGGCGGATTTCAACCTCCTCACCGTCGAGCCCTTCGAGTACGACCGTGGGATCTCGGTGCAAGAGAACGTCACCCTTGCATACAAGAACATCGACGACTTTTCGCCGGCGGTGCTCTGGATCCACAATGGACCACCTGAGGAGTTCCTTGACGGCCTCCTCCCTGTGTTCCACCAGCACATCACTGCCGGAAAGCAGCTTGCCCTTAAAGTAGAGGCGTATCATGAAGTTTGGGAGTTGGCCCTCATGAGGGAATTGCTCGAGGTCCACGATGGCAAGTACCACCGCCGCGCGGAAGAACCCAATGTGGTGCGTTTCAATGGATCCAGCCCCGGAGAACGTACCAAACTCGTTCCCGGAAATGTACCACAGCTCTCGGGTTACCCCATCTCCGACCAGGAACAGACGAAAGGATCAGGAGGACTTTTCCCCGAAGTACCTGGTGGAATGGACGTTACGTCTGCACCCGAGCAGGACCTACAGGACCTCTTTGACCAGGAACAGGCGAGAGGACCAGAAGGACTTTTCCCCGAAGTACCTGGTGGCCTCATTGTAGATTTACATCAGAGTGCAGACACGGCCTTTGTGACCGAGACCGGATCTGGGAGGGCAGTTGCAACAGAACCACGGGGTGCAGAGGCCATTCACTTCGAGAAGGTCAAGCCTATATCAGCAGAGGTACGCTCCTCACTGAAACGGCTCCACCAGAACCTGGGACATCCTTCGAATCTTGATCTATGTCGTCACTTGAGACTTGCAGGAGCTGATGCCGCGGTGGTACAAGCTTGCAAACGACTTCGATGTGAAGTGTGCCATCGTAATCAAAGAGGATCAAGTGCCAAGCCGGCTACCCTACCGAACATCATGGAGTTCAATCAGCTGGTGGCTGTGGACGCGTTCTATGTCTACGACGTTGATGGTGAGAAGGTCGAGTTGATGATGATTGTCGACATCGGCACAGGATATATTTCTGTTGGTCATCTACAAGGCCATTCTGGAGTGGCCATGGAAGCGTCATTTTGCTCCATCTGGAGCAACGTATTCGGCGCACCCGGGACCATGGTGCTCGACCTCGAGAGTGGCCTCCAGGCTGGTTTGGGAAGATTCAGTGAATGGCACGGAACCAAAATCCGCGCCATCGCTGAACAGGCGCATTGGCAGAATGGCACTGCCGAACGAGATATACGTACTTGGAAGGAGATCTGGAGCCGCCTTGTGGACGAATGGTCGGCCACCGCAGAGGAGGCCGGGATGATCACCACGGCGGCCAACACCGCCATGAATACTTTGCGCCGAGAATCGGGCTTTAGCCCTTCACAAGCCGTGTGGGGCCGCGATCCTCGTTTACCTGAAGACCTCAAGGGTACCCCACAGGATGAACAAGTTGAGCACATCATCAGTCACGATCGCCGTAGGGCGAAAGAACACTCACTCAGGGAACCCGGCGAAGGAAGCCTATTTCAAGACCCAGAACGACGCCCGTCTACGACGTTCGCTACTGCAACGCTCCCGAGTTGCCGGCCCCGATCTTCAACAAGGTGACCATGTCTTTTTCTATCGCAAGCCGAAGAACAACAAGAACTGGGAATGGCATGGACCAGGAGTGATCATTGGCCATGAGGGGCCAAATGTCTGGGTGTCTTTTGCCGGGCGCTGTCACCTCGTCGCCCCTGAACACCTTCGCACGGCCAGTGCAGAGGAGCTTGGAGCAGCTTTCTCTTTGAGGGCAACGCAAGATGACTTACAACGTCTACTTGAGCAAGACTTTGGTGACGAGGAGATGTACGAGGCCGAGGACCACGACATGGACGAGGACCTGGCCCTCACTCCCGAAGGCGAAGATCGAGACGGAGGTCGTGGCGATGGAACTCGACGTGGACGAGATGGAACTCCCCCGCCGGCAGTCACGAAGAGGATCAGAACGAAGGGGCCCCAGGCTCGCGAAGCCCACACCGCACTCCACGAGGCCTACATGATGAAGTTCCCCAAGACACCGAGAGGAAAGGAGAAGGCCTTGGAAAAGGAATTGCCCTGGGGAATGATCCCACCCGAACAGCACCAAGGCTTCAAAGATGCAGAACTTCGTCAGTGGGAAGAGCACGTGGAGCACAATGCTTTGGAAGCTCTATCTATTGAAGAAAGCAGGCAAGTGCTCAAAGACAAGCCCCAGCGTGCCCTCAACAGCCGGTTTGCGTACAGAGATAAGTTGTGGAGCCGACGGCGGGAACAACCGGATGTTGGATGGAAACATAAGGCACGCCTTGTCATCAGCGGCCACAAGGACCCCGACTTGCTCTCCGGGCTCCCCACACACGCCCCTACGATATCTCGACAAGGAATCCTACTGTTGCTCCAGATCCTGGCGTCGAACCTGGTGAATGATTGGTGTGGATATGCGGGCGACGTGACCGCGGCTTTCCTATGTGGAGAAGTACTACAACGTGAGCTTTACCTACGTCAGCCTCGCACCGGGCTTGGGGACTTGCATCCGGAGGTTGGTGGACAGCCCAGCAGCGTGGTGGAATAAGTTCCACAAGACCCCCGCTCCCTCGAGTTCGAGACCGACGATGGCAAATGGCAGGTCACCCAATGCAGCCTGGACCACTGCATCTTCATGGTGCAGAGATTTGATGGTGACGGAGATCTCGGACCTCCCCAAACGTACCTAGGAGTGCATGTGGATGATGTCTTGCTGGTAGGCCTACGTTCTCTTTGTGAGGTCATCAAGGCGAAAATCAGCGAGAGATTCCCAATTCGCGACTGGGAGACTGGGAAGTTCAACTACGTCGGGTCTTTCATCGAGATCAAGGAGGACTCAGTCAAGATCTCTCAGGCGAGCTACGCAGCGACGAGACTGTTCCAGGTGGAGATCGACAAGGACATCCCCGACCACGCCGAGGTGACCGAGACCATCCGAGACCCAGAAGTATGACAACATGTCCTTGATAGGAGCATTGTCGTGGATGGCAAGCCAGACGAGGCCCGATCTACAAGTCGGCGTCTCAATGAGCCAGCAAAGGCAGAAGGAGCCGACGGCGGGCGACATCCGTTTTACCAATCAGCTGGCCAAGCGTGCGATGGACTTGAAGGAGAATGGCCTGGAATTTCACTACGTGGATCTTAACTCGGCCGCACTCCTATGTTACCACGACGCAGGTTGGGCCAACGTCCCGCAGAACCAGGAAGACCCCTACTACCGCCTCACCCCTGAGGAGGACGCGGACGGCCTGATCACCGATGGACCCTTCGCCAGGAAGGACGCCAAGGCCAAGAAAGCTAACTCATCTATCACCTCTCAGCTGGGAGGTGTGTATGTGTTGGTGAACCGAGAAGTTCTCCAAGGAGAAGCTCAGCTTGGCAACATTCTGGACTGGCGCAGCGGTGCTTGTGATCGAGTTTGTCGATCGACGTTCGCAGCAGAAACGATGGCTTGCAGCACAGCCACTGAGACAGGGGACTACCTCGCTCGATTCTTGGAGACGTTGCTCACAGGGAAGCTTGAGCGTGTGAAATCCCGTTTTGAGATCCGGTTCCTTACAGACTGTCGTAGCTTGCACGATCACCTCACCCGGGACGGAGTTCCTCGGGTGCCCACCTGCAAAAGGTTGGCAATTGATCTTGCTGGAATTCGTGAAGACTTAGCCAGCTACGGAAAGATAGTCTGGGTGCCGACTTGGGCACAGTTGGCAGATGTGCTAACGAAGCCACTCAAGGCTGATCAGTGGTGGAAGACAGTCCATAGTGGACTCCGCCTTACATCTGTGGAAGAGAGGGGATGTACAGATAAGAGACTTTCTGGAACCAGTGTAAAGCTTGAAGGTTCTTGAAGTCAGCCCCCCCCTCAGAGACTTGTCCCGCAGGCACAAGAGTGGATCGAGAAGCGAGAAAAGCCTCGTCGAGTTGCCGAGGCCCAGGGGTTGGGCTTTTCGGCCTTTCTAGTTTTAGATTTAGGGGTTTAAGGGTGTTTTAGGGTTAGTTAAGGGTTTAGGGGTCACGGGTTAAGGGTTTAAGGGTTAAGGGTAGGGGTTTAGAGATTACTTAATTAATTTGGGGTTGGGGTGTAATCAAGGGTAAGTTAATAGAAATTGTATAGGGTTTGG